GGGAGAGGGAGAAGCAGACTCCTCTGGTTCAGCAGGGAGCCCGATGTGGGGCTCCATCCCAGGACCCTGGGATCATGGCCTGAGCCGAAGGCAGACGCTGAACGACTGAGCCACGTGGGTGCCCCAGGAGGCCTCTCATTTTCAAGTTCAAGGAGTGAAGCTTCAGATGTTCCCTCCCTTGTGCTCGGAGCTAGATTTATGGAACAGCTGCTGAGCTACTTCATCTACTTGACCTTGGCCCCACACTGTGGTATATTAGTCTGGAGCCGTAATTTAGGATTTTAACCCCTAGATTGGGAAAACGTTTGTGATGGTTTTTTTTTTTTTTTTACCCTTACTTGGAAATAATTTCAAACTTACGGAAAAGCTGCAGTTACAGTACATATAGCTGTATATCCTTTTTTAAAAAAGATTATTTATTTATTTGACACAGAGCGAGAGCACAAGCAGGGGGAGTGGCAGGCAGAGGCAGAGGGAGAAGCAGGCTCCCCACAGAATAGGGAGAGCCCGATGGGGGGCTTGATCCCAGGTCCCTGGGATCATGACCTGAGCCGAAGGCAGTCGCTTAACCGACTGAGCCACCCAGGCGCCCAATATCTGTATATCCTTTACCCAAAGTCACCTGTTAATATTTTGTGTCAGTTACTTCATCATTTGTACTTCGGTGTACGTATTTTTCTCTGGAGCCGTTTGACAGCATGTTGCTAATGTCATGCCCTTTTACTCCTGAACTCTTCGGTGCGCCATCTTCCATACCATCTCAGTACCGTTACCAGTCGTAGGTCGTATGACGCTGACGCTGTGGGCTTAATCACATTTTTTCCATTTATATTTTAGGTTCAGTTGATTTGACAGTGTTCTTTTATAGACTTTCTCCTCCTCCCCTCCAGTAAGGAATCCAGGATTATTCACTGATTTTAGCTGTTGTGTCTTTTTAGTTTCCTTGAGTCTAGGACACTTCCTCAGCCTTCCTTTACCTCACATGACATTGACAATTTTGAAGAAAAGCCCCCCCTCCCGCCCCACCGGCCTAGTTGGAGCTAGAGTGTTTCTCATTTGGTGTTTGTTTGATGTATGCTCACGATTGGATCCAGGTTATGAGTTCCCAGTTGGGATACTCCGAAAGTGAGGCTGTGTGCTCTCACTTCAAGAGGCATAGAGTGTTCATCTGCCCTACTTGGCGATGTTAATTTTGATTACCTGGTCAAGGTACTACTCAGTTTTCTTTATTGTATAGTTACTAAATTTCTCCCTTGTGTCTGATAAGCAGCCTGTGGGAACACACTTTAAGACCATTCAGACACCCTGCTCCTCTTGTAAAGTGTGTCTAACCAGCAGTCAGAAGATACTCCAAGACCATGCAGATACACTGCTCCTTTTCAAAACATCCTCTTTAGACCATGCATCCGTGGTTTTTCCCTGAACCAGCTTTTACTAAGATGATTTACCAACTCTGGTGCTTTCTCCATATCTACCATTTGGCAGTTGGCATCCTCTTGTAAACAAGATCCCACCTCTCCCTACCTCTTTATTTATCTGTTAACAGTACTGATTTGTGGATTTTCTCCCCCCCACACCAGTTTATAATTATTTTCCTTAATTAATTTTTTGCTCAAATTGTTCCAGCTTTGGCCAGTGGAAAAGCTCCTATGTCTTATTGGCAGGTCACTGTCATCCTTTTAGGCACCTCTGTACTTCGTAGCATAAAAAGGATGTCATAAGCTCACCCTGTGCTTTCCTTGCCTCAGGTTTGGCTGTGTATTAATTTTTTCCGTAGACAGTTTCACCCTGAACAAGATGCTGTGTCTAGAATAGACACCAGAGACGCCTCTTTCAGTTGCAACTCTTGGAGGTAGCCTGCCTTCGAATAAAAAACTGGCTGCTAAGACACTAGTCTCTGCAGGGTCTCAGCCAGGTGTCCCTGATTGCCCTTAGCCCTCTGGGTTCTGTAATGTTCTCTGATAAAATGAGGAAGTCATGCAAACCTAAAGACCTTTCTTAGGTATCATGTGACGACAACTCTGTGTTTGAGATAGTTTCCTTTGAGTTCTCACTTCTAAAATGGGTCCTTGAAATATTGCCATCTGTTGTGGTGATTGGTATATTGGGTATATGACAGTTACATTGGTATATTGGTATATGACAGTTTTTTGTTTTTTTTCTTAAGTAAGGAATATGGACATGTAACGCATTTCAAGTATTTGATGATAATGAGCAAAGTGAAGCTTACTTAAGAACAGGTGTATCTTTCCCTGAATTTGTAATTTCTGAATATCTTTCTTCCAGTAACACTAACTTAATCTTGGAGGTTCTGTTTGTAAGGCGTATAAAACAAATAATGTGAATATCTGATTTTCCTCTTAGAAAATAAGACCTACTCATCTGTGAGAACAGAAGCTTTATCTGTGATAGAATTACTGCTTAAAAAACTTGAAGGTGAGTTTTTTTTTTTTTTTTTTAAGGTTTTATTTATTTGACAGAGACACAGCAAGAGAGGGAACGTAAGTAGGGAGAGTGGGAGAGGGGGAGGAAGGTGAGTTCTTGATTCTTCTGATTGGAAGAGGGCCAGAAAGCCAGGATACTTTATGGCATATATTTTAGAAATTTTTTCCTGCTTTTGTTTTTAATAAGTGTATACTCTAAAATACAAATTAGTACATGGACATGTGAGTGAGATCTACAAAGCTAAAACCTTTAAATTTTATTAAGTGTTTAAATTTGGTACTTTTTCATTTTATATACTTTTAATGTATTATGAAGCTACAGTTATGTTGAAATAAAAAAGTTCTGTTTCCGCCATGACTCCTGATGTAATCTGGGTCACTTCCAGTGGCAGAATGGGGCTCCCAGTACACACGCCAAGAAACAGAGTGATCCCTGAAGAGTGGGGTTGGGAAAACATTTTAACACTTACCTACCCAACTCATCAAATTTGACAGCAGTTTGCTTAATCTTATTTTTTTCCCCTATTCCTTTTTTTTTTTTTTTTTTAAACCTTTTATCAAGAAGCAGATTTCTTCTAATGATAAAAGAAAACTGCTCTGATTTTCTCCGGTGGGGTATTTCAAAAGGAGGCCACTTTTGTTCTTTCTCTTCTTTTTTAATTATTCTAAGCCTATAGATTAAGAATGGAGAAGATGGAACAGTTTCCTCTAGAGTCTTTATTTGCTGTTTCTACTTGTCTTTCTGCTTAGCAATTAAAGCACCCCCCTTAAGGTTCCATGAAGCAGGCCTTTTAGACTCAGTAACACTACACACCTCATCATCTTTTCCTTGTTGAAATAAAAGAGCTAGGCACTTAGTCACATCACTGAATTTTCACAGTTAGCCAGATGCATACGAATGTATTCTAGATGAGGAAAATGAGGCTAAACAGCAAAACAACTTGCTTGAAACCTTATCACTAGAAAGTGGCAGAACCTCATAGACAAGATTTAGGATCTGTTATACTTTCTGAGTTTCTAAAATTTTTAGTATGTATATAGATTTCTAGTGCTTTAAAGAAAGGAGTAATTGTTGTCTGTTGTCTGTTCAGACTGACTTGGCCATTATGAAATTTATTCAAGATTTTTTTACTGAGCATATTTTATAAAGAGTTTTTTTGTGTGTTAAATGGCTTTTTTGTTACTGTGTGCTTTGCCTTGATAACTCCTCCTTCGCACTTTGATTCAGCATCCCTAGATTCTCTTTGTCCCACCAGTACTGGGGCAGAGGATGAAACTCCCTGACATGCTCTCAGATTATTGTCAATAATTAGGTTTTGAGACAACTATTGAACCTGTTCTATACCAAACTGTTATCAGGGGGTTGCTTTGCATTTATTCGGGGGATAGGCTATATGGAAGAAAAGCAGAAAGAATAGTTTTAGGCTTTTTGCTTGCTTGTTCTATAAGGATTCTGTTTTTCTTCTTTTTCCATTCAGAATCTAAACAGTGGGAAAGTTTGACATCTGAGTGCAGAGTGCTCCTAATCGAGTCTTTAGCTACTATGGAGGCAGACAGCAGACCTGAGCTGCAGGAGAAAGCATCATTACTGAAGAAAACACTTGAAAA